CTACTTAGGGCAGCTAGGTGGCATGAAGCACAGGACTTGAAGGAGGGAGGCAGACAATGACTAACAACAAAGATGGGAAAGAGTGCCAACCAAGAGTCATCTCCAAATTATTGGGAACTACTGCAGAGGGATTTTTATATTATGGGAAAGACGCTGTAGAGGTCGTGCTGGTTTATAGGAGGCCTAATTAGAAAAGTTAATCAGATGCAAATTATCCCAATGAATTCCATGCATTCCAAAGCTAAAGAGTTATGATTTGAGGATTGCCTGCTGTTTTGGATCTTGCATGCTGCCAACTCTCCTCTATTACTGCAGATAATTGTCAGTTCCATAGAGTGTCTATATATAAATGTGCAGGGCGCGTCACACTTTTCCTGGGTGCCACTTGTCTCCAGGCCAGCTTGTTGCCTTTAAAAGAGTGATGCTTGTAGCTGTGCCTGGAAGAAAGACAGCAAAGCCAGCTATGAAGGCTCCAAGGCCCCAGCGTGTGTGAGTGATATGTTACCATCCTAATTCCTGAAAATATATACTCTCCATCCCCCCAATGTCAGCTCCAATGCTTCTCATTATAATTAACTTTCTTATTTGCTGGGAGCACAAATGGTTGAAGGAAATAGTTGACACTTTTATATTTTTCTTTCTTAACAGTAAAATTTAAAATAACTGTACTGAAAAAAGAGAATTGCTGACTACTTTTAATCATAATCTTGATGCAGAAAAAAATCCCAGCACAGGTTTCAGACAGTCCTAGACTAGAAAATAAGCTCTGTTATTGGGGGGTCTATTAGGTCCCCTGGGTCTCTGTTGTGTTCTCTGTATTTTGGCCCAACTATATGTCCATAAATATGTGTATAGTGTAGACAGACAATAAAAATATAGCGATTGGTAAAGATGGGGCAGATGATGATGAAGAAGAAAGATAGATAAATAGATAGATAGATAGACAGATAGATAGATAGATAGATAGATAGGCAGACAGAAGCGAGAGTGCAAAGAAGAAACATGTACATACTATTCAAAGCATACAAGTTAAGGATATAGGCTCTGGAGTTAGACTGCCTAAATTAAATCCAAGATATTCAATTACTAGCTCTGGGAACTTGGGCAAGGTTTTCCTCATAGGATGGTTGTGAGGATTAAACTCTATAATCCTGTAAGATCCCTAGCACATACCCATATTAATAAACAATAGTTACTGCATGCCTACTCTGTGTCAGCTCCCAAGCTAAGCAATTTGTATACATTAAAGTACTTAACTCTCCTGACATCACCATAAGGATACTGTCCCCATTTACAAATGAAAGAATAGGAATCCAGGCCACCATGTATGTCCAGGAGGTCTATGTATCACCCAAACCTGTAGCTGTCATCTATAAGGACTAGATGAGGCCAAGACTTTAGGGAAATTAAATAACTTGCCCAAGGTTATAAGGAAAGCAGAGTAAATCAACGACTTAAATCCAAGTATAGTCGACATCTAAATATGTTCTTTTAACCTTTAAACATATTCTACCAGAAGTATCATATTAGCAAAATCAGACCAGTTGAAAAATCAGTTTAGTATTCAGATGGCTAGAGATTGAAAAGAAAAAGAAAACTGTTGAAAAGATTATCTTGGTTGGTTCCATTTTTTTCCTCTGACCCTCAGTTTTGAGTACTGCACAAATTCCATTAGCAAGGTACAAGTCACTGTTCAGTGGATTTAAAATCCTTTTGCATTTGAACTCTGGTTATTCCCTACTCTGCATTAACTGGATATGATTTGTCCTTTGCTAATCCACCTGCAAACGTCTCTTATTTCCTATCCAGTAGCTACTGGCCACTTTTGCCTCTGTGTCCCATTAGTGTTTTGCTGAGGGAGCAAAAGTCAATTATATCCTAGTCCCATTAAGCAAACTTAATGGGGAAATCAAGTCAATGTCCTCTTCTCTTCTTCCCTGCCAAATTCTGCAGCTGAAGACCCGCCTCAGCTTAGTCAGGAGAGTGGAGACACCCATCAGCATTGAGGCAACACTCTGGAATAGACACCACGGCACCAGCATGCAGATTCCAGCTGCCAACACTTGTCAGCATCTCATATGAGCTTCTCTTCCATTAGTGACCTCGCTCCACTTCCCCGTCCTTCTTAGGGTGATCCCCAGTTCAGGCCAAATCCAAGGTTTAAGAACATCTAAAGTTGAGGAGCCCCCTGTCCATGGTTCTAGAAAAAATATTCTTTGGAAGCTTCCTTCTTTTAATTACACTGTCTCCCGCTCAATCTCTGACTTGCTTTACTAGAACTCCTTCTATTTTGTTGAAAATGGCTGCATTTCATCTCTCCTGATGACTGAATAGTATTCCATAGTGTGGATATACCACATTCTTGTTTCCTGTGACTTTGATTCATCTTTATTTCTCCACACAGATCTTGGTCAGAGTTAGTCATAAGTACATAAATTCATAGAATAGATTAATCTTGTAAGTTAGGAAAAAAGGAATTTCTTTATGTCATTTCCACCAACTCTCCCATTCTGCCCTACTCCAGGCTAGAAATAGTCTCTTTATTCTCAGAATGCCATTTTCTTTTATTCAAAACTCTCTTACGGTCTTTATCATTTTCACCCCTCATTATAGTCATCCATCTGCCACATCTACCTACCCAACCAGATTGTTGCTTCTCGGTGACTGGGATTTGGATTCATCTTTTTTCCTCCACACTGACCCTGATCAGAGTTAGCCATAAATAGATAAACCCATAGGATGAATTAACCTTTGTAAGTTAGGAAAGAAAGGTGCTAGTAAGATCATGGAAAGATAAACCCAAAAAGAGGACAATTAGCTATTACTGCCTAACAACCCACACCCCAGATTTACTAACAATACAGCATCCATTTTTAATGCTCACAAATTTACCAGTGTGATGGGTGGTTCTGCAGATCTGGGCCAGGAAGAGCCTGGGTCATTTGGCCTCACTCATGTCTGTGGTCATCCTTAAGGTGACTGAGGACTGATTGAGTGGGAATGGTTGTCATCTGGGATCATGAGGACTCCTGGACTGTCTCTCATCATCCAGTATGTTAACTTGACCTTGTACTCAAGGTAACAAGACAGGTTTCCAAGACAGCAAACAAAAACATGGACGTTCTCTTGAGGTCTAAACTCAGAAATGAAACAACATCACTTCTATAGTCTACTGGTCAAAGTGAGTCCCAAAACGAATGCAAATTCCACACATAAATACATAGAGATAGCAGGAGCTGAGACGTTGCACCACTAAGTGCATCAGAAAGGGGAATGGTGGGGAACCAGGAGCATTTTGCCATCAGTCTACCAAGGAAAGTTCTCAGACACAAGTTTGGCCAGGGAACAAATAATCTGCTTACCAGCAGTGATAGTAATGTATGCTGCTGCTGGTGGTGATAGAAATGAACTTATCACAAGTATTCATTCAATACATCTATGCTCTAGATGCTGTTTTGGTCCCCATTTTACAGATATGAAAATTTAAACTTCAAGTAGGAAGATATCTATTCAAGGCTATCCAGCTACTACGATATAGTAGCAAAACTAGAAACGCACTTACAGGGTCACTACATGGAATACGGGACAGCTGGATTGGGCCCCAGCTGCAGGGGAACATTGCCAGAGGCTTCCCGACTTGACTGGAAGCTGCAGGGGGGCTTCTTTTCACGTAGGACTCAATTTCCTATCGCATCTTCTTTCTCTCTCATCCCTCTTGATTATCCCTTGTCTTCTTAAGTCTATTTTTCAGATTTAGTTCACAATGTTTTATAATAAAAGACTTGTCTCTATTGCTTTATAAAGACACAGAGAGGATTAGCAGGTAATTTAATGTTTGCAAAATGCCCTCAGCACCGAGGAATTAAATATGTTGATGCAAATAAATAAACAAAGGCTTTGGAGTATAGAGACATTGGTCTTCTCTGAATGACATGCTCAGGGTGTCTAAATGCACGCATGAACATAACCAGCTAAAATCTGATTCCACTAGACAGGGACCAGGCAACCCTGAATTTGCTCTTTCACATGTGGTATCAGAAGTAAGACATGCAAGCCAGCATCCTATCACCTGCCACCTTTGCTGTCTATGTGGAGATGAAAATCAATAAAAGTATCTTCCTGATTGTTTGATAACCTAGGTGCATGTGCACATAAATATGCACGTGCGCATACGCGTACACGTGTGCATGCGCACACACACACACCAACGCCCATCCATTCCATTCTTTCCATCACCTGTTCCCTGCTCAACCCTCCCCCTCAAGCTCCACCCATTGGTGGGTGACTGAGCAACGAGGGGAGGAGATGCTGCTTTAACACAGACGGCCAGGGAGAAAGACAAGACTGAAGCTCATGTACAGACCATCTATAGTTTGTGCAAGTCTTAATACTGAGAGCCAGTTTATTGGCCTAACCCTCTCTGGCCTCTGCAAGTGGACCTCTGCCCACACTCCCCACTCTCAGCTTCTCGAATCTCAGCTAAATACCCCCTGAGAACTCAGTGTTCATGGAAACCTGGGGTTCAGGGAACTCATAATTGAGCTGAAATCACATGTGGATGTAATATAGCTTTGTAAGTTGCCCCGAAGACATTTAAAATATTTTCTATTTGGAAAATTCATTTCAGGTCCTAAAGAACCCTAAAGAACTGATATATTTATGCACACAACAGCTGGGGTACAGGCCAGAGATGCAGGTGGTGAGAGGATTCACCAGAGACAAAGCGGGGAACAGACAGGCAGATTGACCAAAGTACACTACTGAGGGCAGCAGCGGGCGAGCCAGGAGAGGTCTGCTGCGCCATGTGGGTCGCTCCCTGTCCGGGGATTGAACTCGTGCCGCAGAGGAGGCCACAAGGGAGGCCCTTCCTGGTGCTTTAAGAGACTCATTTTGTAAAGCAGCTTTAGGTTTACAGAAAAATTAAGAAGAAAGGACAGAGATCTGACCTGGCACGTATGTAGCCTCTCTCACTATCAGCATCACTCAACAAAATGGTGCATTTGTTACACTTTCCAAACCTTCATTGATAAATTATCACCCATATTACCCAAGGCCCATAGTTCATATTTTGGTTCACTCTTGGAATTGTACATTCTGTGGCTCTGGAAAGTTTCTAATGATGTATATTGACTGTTATAGTATTATGTGGTATTAAAATTTTTGCTGCCCTAAATCATGGTGCATTGTGATGGATGATTTTGCCTTCAAGGATGTTCTTGATCTTTAATTTGACCAGATGAGAATGGGAAAGAGCACATCACATAGGCAGTCCTACCCTCCAAAAGAGGGGTGGAAGATGGACAAAAAAACCATGGTTGGGTTTTTTGTTCTGCATTATCTCATTTAACCCCCAGCCCCTTCACAGGACAACATGATTACCTGCATTTTATTTATGAAGACAATGAGGGTAAATGTCTTGCTCTAAGTCATCCACACCACTCTTCAATCAACTGTAAACTCCTTGAGGAGAGGGAAGTATCTTATTCATCTTTATATCTCTCAGTATCTAGCACAGAAACAGGCAGGAAATCGGCATTCAATACATTCTTACTGAAGGAAAACTTTCAAAAATAGCAGAGGTAGAGTTAAAATCCATTCCAGCCAGACTCTAACACATGTCACATTCCTCCACAGACAACCCCTTTGTGTATTATGATCACACGTGTCCAAATGAAAATCTAGTAAGCTATTTGCTCCTGTCTTCCTTCCTGAAAATGAGCAATCACTGGGATCCATCTCCTTTGGCAGTACAAGGGATTTTTCCTACTATTATTCTTGTGTTTTTTATTGCCTTTCTTCCTTCCAGAGATGTACCTGAGCTAGAGGAAATCTATTCATGTCTCTAATGGAAAAGACATTTGAGTAAGGCCCTTGAATTCTTGGTAAACTATCCATTTAAGTTTGAAAACTTGGTACAGATGGGAGATTCTCCTCAAGTTAAGGCTTTGGACCCAGCCTTATAGACCTCAACGTGAGGAGTACTCATCCCATGTTTTCACCCCTCTCTTCCTTATTCTCTAGCTCCCATCACAATGATGCCCTTGCTGTTCCTTGGACAAATACACACCTCTCCTAGCACAGGCCTTTGCACCTGATGCTCCCTTGCCTGGATCTTTCTTCCTGGAGAAACCACATTTCTCTCTCCCTTTCTTCGCTTGGGTCATTGTTTAATGGTCATCTGATCAAGAAGTTGTTCCTGACCTTACTATCTCAAATAGCCCTCCTCTACCCCATCATTATTGCACCCTTAATGCAATTGTTTCTTTCACAATCCACCTGACATATTGCAGATGGATTTCTTTATTATCTTTCTCCCACTAGAATCTAAGTTCTTTGCTCACAGTTCTAACTTCAGTGCCTATAACAGCACCTAGAATTAGTGGGAACTCAATATTTTCTGAATCAATGAATGAAAACTCAAGTCATGAATGTCAAATGCATGCATGGAGGGTAAGTGAAAAAGTATTGGGCTTTTCCATCCTCCCACCATTAGCATTAATGATGGATCCCTGTGATCCTATATGCCTGCCTGATGGCGGACACCTGGAGTAGGGTGTGGGCATGCATAGGTGGGCACACCTCGAGTAAGACTGGGCTTATAAGGGTGGTGTCATGGGGAACCAACAGAAGGAGAACAGAACCAAAAGAGAAAGAGTAACAGAACCAAAAGAGAAAGAGTAGCAGAACGAGAGAGCAGACAGAACGCCAGAGACCCCAGAAAGAGTCAAGATTCGCTGGGGGTTGGGAGGCCTACCAGCCTCCCGGCCCCTCCCCGCCCCAGCACCCCTGCCTACCATGTACCTGTTAAAACCTCTATAAAAGCCTGAAAAAAGCCACTGAGGGCTCCAGGACTCTCCTTTACCAGTCTGCCCAGATCACAGAGATCCTGTACTGGGCCTTCCTGCTGTCCCTACAATGTACCTCCACTCCCCTCTCCTGTGTCCAGTTCAGAGCTCACTAACCAAGCAGTTAACTTTTCCTGCAAAACTAAAAAAAATCTCAGAATCCTTCTTATACAGAACTCCAGGCAGCAACAACCAACCTATGGAAGTCAGCACAGGCAAGGAGGTATCTGTGCCTTTTGGGGATAATGTGGTTCTTCTACCCTGGCGAAATGGCCTGGGCCTCCCCTCAGGCAGAAAACCCTCCTTTGTCCCATCTAGCCTAAGGCTGAGACTAGACCCCAGGCAAGTGGCCAATTCTTTTGTGTCTTTATACCCAATGGGACCACAGCCAGATCCTCTCACTTACCTCTGAGGTGATCTGGAGCTGGTTCCTGCAGGCTCATGAGAGCAAATTGTGGTTTCTCTTCTCAAAGCTGCCTTCAGCAGCTCCATTCACCAGCTTGGAATCAGCCCTGGTGGGAACATTTAGACTACAGAGATCAGCAGGGCTAAAATCACAGTTTGTTTTTCTTTTTGTTTGAGAGCCAGCGGTTAATCCTCTTCCTTACTGTTTAAGTTTGCAAAACTGGGGCAAATGTGTGAAACAAGTCCAAGGGGTGGGGGGGGGGGGCCACTTTCACTTTCCTTCCCTGGAAAGGTGGGAGGTGGGAGCGGACAAAGGGACTAGGCTGGTTTCTGTTTGGCCTTATATGGAGGTCAGAGGAACAGGGAGCCGGTCTGGGTCTCTGTGAGAGCAGCAGCTGGCCACAGGGAGGAAAGACGCTCTCACCTTGTAGGGTAAGTGATTATCAGGCTTTTTTGCCCTCCTGCCATTAGAATTAATGATGTATCCCTGTGGTCCTGGACGCATGCCTGATGCTGGGCACCTGGAGTGGGGTGTGGGCATACATAGGTGGACACACCTGGGCTGAGACTGGGCAATAAGGGTGGTGTCATGGGGAAGGCATCAGGGAAAAGAAACAGAAACAGAACAAGACCAGAGAGAGCAAGAGTAGCCAGTGGTGGAAGAAACGAGCAGAAGAGAGAGAACAGAGAAGAGAGAAGAGCAGCAGAACCAGCAGAGCAGCAAGGGAGAAGCAGGGACCATGAGAACACCAGAGAGCCCAGAAAGAGTGAAGATTCACCGGTGGGGGCTGGAAGGCCTGCCAGCCTCCCGGCCTCCCCCGACCTTGCTTGCCCTGTACCTGGTAAAAAGGCCAATAAAATCCTGAAAAAGCCACCGAGGGCTCTAGGACACCCCTTTACCCGAATGCTCGGATCATAGAGATCCTGCTCTGGGCCTTCCTGCCCCTACACACCTCCTGTCTCTTCCTCCAAAGACTCCCCTCCTCCACCCCACCACCCCCAGAAGCAAGTCAGGAGTCCCTCCTTCCAGCTGGAGAAGTGAGGTTTGAGTGGGGGAAGGGACTTGGAGGGACTCTGACGTGCAGTGTTTGCCCAAGTGTGATTTTTACACAACCGGCCTCAGAATTGCCCAAGACACTTGTTAAAACTTTTGTTCTCGAGGCGCCACCGCACACAGGGTAATCAAACTAGGAAAATGGGATTTAGAAAAATGCATTTCGATAAGCACAACTAAATGCCTCTTATGAGCACAAGTGGTTATTAGGTTTGCTAAAACAAATCATTCACTTAGAAAGGTCATTTAAAACGCAGGTCTCCAGGGTGTGTCACAGGTCCCAAAATCTACAGTTTGATATAGTTTTCTAGGTGACTTTTAATATTAGTCCAAGTGAGGCTTTGCAACAAACACAGATTGTCTTCTCTGTCCCCCCACAAGATGAGTTTTGAAGTCCTTCCTTCTTTGCAAGAAAGTTGGGGTGCTTTCATTGACAGGCATTACTAAATATCTCATTAAATCCACAAAACCAGCCCATGGAATGGAAACGATTATGCAGAGGTAGAGGCTGTTATGATTCCCACATTACAGAGGAGGAAACAGAGGCGTGGAGTAGCAAAGCTGGAACTGGCACCTACAGCAGCAACCTGTGCCCTTAAGTCGTTCAGCTGCCTCCTGAAGACTTTCAGGAATAAAAAGATAATAACTCAATATAAAAACCTCACTGGCTGAGCAAAAGGATTTTTTTCAAAAACGAATCTTGAACATTTCTCCAAAATGTCACATTCCACATTCCCCTCTATTGAAGTCTGAACTGGTTAAAATACATTTATACAGGTGGAAAGCAATCAGAATAATTGGTTTGCGTAGAGCAAAGTAACCAATAAATTACCTTAAACATGACCTTTCGGCACCGGCTTCTATTCTGTTCCTATTCTCTGGCCCTGAATTGTCGCTCTTTAATTGGTAGTTTGTTCTCTCGTCGGGCTGCCTGTTTCTGACACTGGGTAATGCATTATGAGATAATCTACTTTCTGTGACTTCACACAGTTCCCATGGCAACCGTCAATGCCACATCCCTGCAGAAACGGCTGCTTCGTTTGTTCCAAATGTGTTGCAGAAATGTAAACATCTTCGATAAAAATGTCCAGTAAAATGACAGTCCAAGCAGAGAATGACATTTATATAATCGCCAAAGGGAAACAATCTATAATTATCCCAACTTCTTTCCCCAGATTAAAAAATGGAGGTGTAAGAATTTTGGTTTGGTTTGAACTTTTTGGTTTGGAGAAAAATAAATAAGGGAAAGGTTTGCTTAACAAGATTTCATTGAAGAGACAGAGCACTCCTGTGAAATGATGTTCATTAAATCCTTACTTTATTGGAGCCCAGGTGACAACATTTCTGGAAGAAACAACCATCTTCATCAGCCCACAAGCCCAGCTACCACAAACACAAGGCAAGAGCTGACCCGGAACATCCCCTCAGGTGACCTGGACACCCTGACATTCGAAACTAATAACCTAAGATCCTCTTGGTTGATGGAGAGAGTGCTTTACTTTTAATTCTTGCTGGCTAACCCTCTGTCCCCTCATAGTGAGCTCCTGAGGACATTTCTTCAATCAAAACCTCAGGAGGCCACATTAAAGTAAAGGAAGTCAGCATCTGGGTTTTGTGGGGTTTTTTTAAAGCTTTACTGAAGAATAATTGATAGATGAAAACCTGCACATATTGAATAAATGCAAATTGATGAGTTTGGATATAACATCTGGATCTCTATTGCCTCTCTTCAATGCCCTCTCTTTCTTGCAGGGACTGTTATTCTGTCTTGCATTCTTTCCCCACCACTAGGTCAGCCCTTTCCATTTGTCCTTTGGAATTAAGTTCAAGTGTCATCCACTGTAGCTACCTGCAGTAAGCAGAATTATAAGATGGTTCAAGATCCCTGCCTCTGGTGTTCACTGCTAGCATCATCTCCTCCCACTGAGTGTGGGTGGTGGTGAAGAAGCATCAGAGGCTGCTGAACACTGGGGGTCCCCCTGGGGTGCCCTCTCTGCCACTGTGCCCCCAGTGTTGTGACCCAGACTCTGGATGCATCCATAGATTTGACACTGTCAAGAAAAGAATCAATGAACTTGAAGATAAGTCAGTAGAAACAATGCAAAATGAAGTATGAAGAAGGGAAAATAAGAATGGAAAAAAAGTAACAACAGAGCCTCTAAGGACTGTGGGGCATCATCCAAGCATGGCATACACTTGATTGAAAACCTATAAGAAGAAAGAGAGTATGGCAAAAGAAATACTTAACATTTTTCAAATAAAAATTCAATTTCCATTTGAATTAAATTCAAAAAAATATTGAAATGATGACTGAGAATTCTCCAAAACTAGTGATGATACCAACCTACAAACCTAGAGACCATCAATGAGAAGAAACAGAAGCAACAATTATCAGTCTTGAGTTCAAAATTCAAGGCTGGTACAAATACTTATGTACTAGCATTCCTTGTCTCTTCTAACCCAGATATATGTTCCCCAGGGCAGTTCTCATCCCTTTTATCCATTCATTCTACTTACACATATTCAGACCTACTATGTGCCACACATCATGACAAAATATGACAGGGAAGCTCTCACCCTGCCTTCTGGGAGCTTGGAGTATGGCGAAAAACACAAACAAATGTTTTGTAGATGTTTGATCTACAAACTGTGGCAAGTTCTATGAAGGGAAGAAGAGAGTAATACAGGAGAAGAAATTTTTAATACTGGAAGATCAGAGAAGACTTCTCTGAAGACATTACAATGAAACTGAGCTCTGAGTGATATGGGTGAATTGGGCAGACAGTATATGGGAGTAGAGTGGACAGCATGTGCTAAGGACCTGAGAAAGGAATGAGCAGAAGGTTTTGAGGTCTTGACAACCACTAGCATGATAAAAACCAAAGGCAAAGAGAGATTCTGAAAAGAAGCCCAAGAAAATGGCCACTGTGAACAATCAGGGGAGAGAGGCAGGAGGGACAGGTGGAGAGATCTGCAGAGGTTGTCCATGCACGGTCGCAAAGGCCAGGGTGCAGATATTAGGATTTGGTGTCGAAGACGTTAGGAAGCCCTTGAAGGTTTAAGCAGGAGCATGCGCTGATTCCTGTATTAAGAAAGTTCACTCTGGCTGTTGGAGAACAGCTCAGATGGAGGCAAGAGGGGGCTCGAGTAGATCACTTAGGAAACTATTCCAGAAGCCCAGGCAGCAGACGAGGTAGGCAGGAGTGATTGCCAGAGATGTAGTATGAAGGGATGGCTTGAGAGGTCCCCGGAAGCTGGAGTGGCTGGACAAGATGGGTTGATGGGAGCAGGAAGGAAGTAGCAATGGCCAGAGGACCCCAGGATTTCCAGCATGCTGGATAATAAAACATCCTTTGAGCTCCTTGGAGAAAAAAACATTGTGCTTCAGAACTTTTTCCAACTAGAATAAATTTAGCATACAATGAATGTTTGTTGCATCAGCAGATGAGTAAAAATGTAAGAGTGATTCAGCATCGGGAAGCACTGCTCCTCAGGACACAGTCAAATTGGAGGAATAAATAAACCCTCTGAAACAGGCAAGCGAATACCTTTAAAGGCAGAAAGACACATTTCAAGCTCTCAGCTCCAAAGTGGGACACCCTGACCGGGACATTCTCAGCTGAACTGAGAGCAAGTTCACTCTAGACATAATTTAAGGAGTCTGACTTGTCTGGTTTCTCAGTGCGGAACAGATTAGATGAAATTTAGATGAAACCGCCACCCTGACAGTGAGCACAGACTAGGAAAATAAAATGCACTTGACTGTTGAAATTGGGGCGTCTTGCTACAAAAATGCAGCAAGTAAGCATCTAATCACCAGGCTGCCACTCCGTATGGTTGCAGTTTTAAAACAAGGCGGTGGTAAGAGTGGGCATCAGCTCTGCATGCCCACCTATAGGGTTCCTTCGGTCTAGCAAACCGAATTGAAGACTGAGAAATGAAAATGCTTGCTTGCAGGGAATGAGGAATTTAAAACCCAGGTGGTAATAGGGGTGGGGTAAGGCACGGAGCACAGAGAGAGGGACATGGGTTGGAGGAAGCTCCATGGAAGTCTCCAGAGGTGTTGGTGATGGTCCGGGCAGAAGGAGAAGGTATTTGATGATGGCTCTTTCTACTTTATGACTATCTTCTACATTTTTATTTGCATGTATGAATTTATAATATCAAAATTTGAAGACACAGCTTCCTTGCTCAGGGTTACAAAATTAGTCTGTGTGGAGCTGGCTGGCTCTTCAATTCAGACTTCGTGAGTCTAAATCTAGTTCGGCGCCCACCACCCTTGGTGTCACCGTGGCATAGCAAGTATCACCACAGCTATGACGTGGTGCCTTCAAACCAAGTCTGTGGGTGCCACAGGGGTCCAAGGAGTGGACCTTTGGTCCACTCTGAGTGTCTGAGTGTCTCCCTTGGTTAATACTGCAACACTTAATAACAATAGTGCCATTGTTATTAATACTCTTAAAGGCTTTGCAATACTTGTGTGTCACTACTTTAGACTACACGTGATAATATATATACATCACCCTCCCACAAGACGGTCCTACTGTTCCTATTATACGGAAAAGGAGATTCAGGTTGAGTAACTCACAGACTAGATGGGATTCAACCCACTTCTGCTTCACTCCAAAGCATCCTGCCTGCCACTAGTGACCTCTTGTAAGACAGGTCTCCCTGTTCAAGGTAGGTCTCCCTCTTCACCATGTTTCTTAGCAGGAAAGGGTGAGCAGTCAGGATGGCTCAGACCTGACCAGGCCACCACCCCTCATGCTTGCAGAGGGGACAATTACAGGAGTTGCCAAGGCATTGCTGCAGCCAGAGCTTCCCGTGAGCTGAGCTCATCATTGTGGAGTTCAGATAAGATGGCAAGCGTGTGGCTCCGATTTGAGATCTGAGTAACCTACTGTCCTCTGACACTGGGGGTGAACATGATCATGCAGCATGCAGAAAGAGAGACAGACAGACAGACACAGAGATACAAAGAAAGAGAAAGACACACACAGAGAGATCCTCAATAGTGCCTGGAGTCCACACAAACACCTGGATTAGTGGGTGAGGATTCTGGGGCTCATGACTTTCTCATCAGTGTTCTTGCTTTTTTAGAAAAGCACAGCCTAGTGAGTGTCCCAGACTTCAAACAATCTGATGATCTACACTGTGCTCCTGTCTGGCTACCGGCACCAGCCTCCCTGTCCAGGCGCCACGCCCACCTCCTGTCTTCCACGGCCCATCAAGCTGATGTCTTCCTGCAGCAGTGCTCAGAGAGGTCAAAGGCCAGCTGAATCAAAAAATGAGAGTGAAGAGCCTTTTCTCTCCCCTTCCATGCACATCACATGGGCTATTCTCCACACCAGGCACAGTCTCGCGTGAGTGTCACACCCTCCTCACTGCGGGCACCTCTTGGCCTCCTACATCACTAGTGGAAAAGTTTAGGGGCACTTGCATCCTTAGAGAAGCGATGAGCATCCTTAGCTTACATCTGTAGCTACTGTGATGAGCCATCGCGAAAGTGCTTGCACGGCCAAGATCTCACATGCAACCTGCTTCTTAGGTGTCTCTCCAGGCAGGGTCATCGGTTTCTGAACATACGCTGGTTTCCCGTCGGTGACCACCACTCCTCTCACTCATTGCATGCCATCGGTCACTGTTCAAGAGTGCACCTCCATGTGCCATAAATCCCAGCACTCGCCAACCCCATTCCTGCTTTATTTTCCATCACAGTTCTTATCTTCTTTTTGCATATTCCACTGTGACTCATATGTATTGCTGATCTCTCGCCTTCTCCTTGCAAGAAATATGCCCTCCACGCAGCCAGGGCTTGAGGTCTGGTATCTTAGTGCGGTGTCTCCTGTACCTCAAACAAAGAGGGTCATGTACTTGGTGCTTAGTAAATATTTGTTGAATAATGAAATGATTTCATTGATTAATATAGATGAGAA